GGCGAGCACCACCGACACCATCCCCCTCAGCCATGAGCGCCGCCGCCCAACGAGCCCCATCCTCATGACCGACGGCGCTCACCACCAGCACCGCCCTCAGAGCCGCCGCCGCCGTCATCACCATCCCTCCCCACCGCCTCCAACAACGCCATAGTCGATTCCATGGTTATAGCCACCACCTCCTCTCAAATCATGGGATGAAGTTGTGGCGAGAGATATAACTTGAGATCGAGAAAAATAAATCGAGAGAGCCAGAGAGAGAGCGAGATAGAGAGAGCGAGATAGAGAGCAAGACAGAGAGAACCCGAGAGAGAAGAAGAATAAAGAGGAAAAATAGATCTGAGAAGAAACGTGAATACGTCGATTATAAGATTTAGGGTATAAGGCAAGATAGGGATTAAAAAAAATTAAGGTTGTGGGTCATATATTATTTCAATGTAAGGATTTAAATAAAAAATTGGATTTAGACTTGTCATTTAGTTCAAATTAAGTTTCGTATGAGGGACTCGTCGCATATTAACCCTAATTTTAATACATACATGTTAAACGGTTGTGGCTTTTATTTTTGTAGAAAACTCCCTGGGGTATTTTGTCTTTTCTCGGTCAACGGGAAAAAGGTAAATGGGTCGAGTGTGTTGTCTAAAAATAAATTAAGGAGCTATTTGCTAATTTTTTTATGACAGGGGAATCGCACAGTTGCGATTTGTTACAAGGGTACTAAATGCAATTATCTAAAACTTTCAATTATTTTTTATATTTGCATAATAAGGATATTTCTACTGTCCCCTAACCTTGTACTTTTACATTTCGCTCACTTTTTTACTAGCAACACCCATTTCAGAAATTCAATTAGCCCCTCTAGCCTCGACTTCTAAACATTCTTCTCAATTTCTTTGCGAATTCCTTATTCCATTTATGCATATACATTGTGAGGGTACTACCCTTTGATCGGATGAAGTTTGTCAATTCCGGTAAAAAATACTCCGGAAATTTGACTTTGGGGCAAAGTACTGCAACAAAGATATATTTTAAAAGGGGATGCCTCTTTTTTTTTTAGTTTCTAGGGGGGGAAAGTGCGAATTTCTAAAATTTCTAGGTGGCGAAGTAAAATTTTCCATAATGTATATCTTTTGTTAAAAAAAAATTAAAAAAAATATTAGTAAATCATGAATAGCCAACAATCTCCACATTCAATCTTCCACAATCAACAGTCATCTTCCTCTGTTTTTTTTTCATAGATAAAATCACCTTTCTCCGTAACAAATACTTTTCCGCTCTCTAAAATCTACTAACGAATTTTTGATGGCAAACTAGCTGAAGTTTAAAGAATTAGCATGTATCTTTTGAGAGAATTGTCTCCTCGTGACCTCGAGATAATGGCGGCGCCACCACTACCCGTCGATTTCCTATTTTGAATCCGGGGAGCTTTGCAATCGCTTGCTCTTGATTTCAGATTATTTCGTCCATTTTCAACAAATTTCGGTTATTGATCTTATGACACCGAGATGAAGACGTTGCTGCGGATTGAAGTGCAGGTACAGGTGGTGAAGAGAAGTTTGAGCGAATCGATTTTAGTGAAGAGGAGCAACGTATTACTGAGGTGTGCTATATATGCAGCGGTCGTGGGGCAAATACACAGCGGAGATCCGCTGGAAAATAATGTTTTTAAGAGACAAGGTACAACATTTAAAGGTACGTGCAACAGAAAAACACTCAATTCCAGTACATTTCCAAATTTTGAGTGGATAAAGTGCGAAAATTAGATATTTATAGGGGGTGACGTGCATTTAGCCCTACAAAAATTGTTCAGAGGGTAACGTGGAAAACACACGATAGTTTGGGGGGAAAGTGCCATTTTCTTTTAACCGGCCTAAGAATTCATTACAAGATTGGAAATTTTAAGATCGTAACCAGTGGAATTTGAAAATTTCTTTATAATCTACATGTCCAAACTATATTTATATACGATTTGGAATATTAGCGCTAAATTCGCTCATCTCCAATCAATTAATATTAGTTTCTTGCTAAGCCGACGTGGACTCGATCGAAGTTGTCGCGTCTTTGCTTATCAAACTAAGATAATTAAGATATAGTAGCAATAAAGAGTGTTCTAAACAACAAGAAAACCTTACGTATAGACGTAGATTCTCGCTCCGAGTTTGCCATGCAGATTTTCTTGTAACCCCATGTATAAACCTCACTAAAATTTTAACGAAACACATCATATATGTATCTGACGGTGACCGCTGTGTAAATTTAGTTGATAGATCTCATATAATCGTCTTCTCTCGAAGTATCATTTCCTTCTTTCTGTTACCTCTCCCTCTATAAATTCTAAACTTTAAATTAATTTTACATTTGGATTTAAAAAAAAAGAAATCAATTATAAATTATAAATTATAAATTTTATTTGCATACCAAGGATAATTCATAAAAATTCTCATACAAATGAAAAATACTAAATTTATTTTAATAAACATTTATAGAAAACGAAAATCTAAAGCCCAGTGGGCTTGTCTTCAGATGCCCTAAAAATAGCTTACACTTTCTTTTTCCTAGGTTTTGACTTCATTCCAACTCTATAAAAAGGGCCGATAAAATCTCTTCTGTATAAATCCGAAATTCCTAGGTTTTTCTCTGCGCCGTTTTTCTCTGTGTCTGAATTTCCGACACAAAAATAATGTATGTGTCAGTGTCGGTTTACAGACTTTCACCTGAAGATCTCCACCACCGCCTAAGGCCGCCTCCTGAACCTCCGCCGCCAAGGTCTGCTCTTCACTTCCCATCATATATATATATATATATATATATATATATATATATAGTTTCTCTTTCCCGTCTTCTTTTTCTTGATTTAATTTATTTCTGTTCTTGATAGTTGATATATCTCTTGATAAAATGTTTTTTCTGTTCGTCATGTTTGATTTGTGGTGATGAATTAACATCTATTAAACTGATCTATTTTTTAATATTTTTCACCCGATTAATACAGATTTGAAATTCTTAGACCCATTAATGATATATATCATATATGGATTTAATTAAGATGTATTAGATCTGTATAACAACATTCATATTTGGATCTCGTATTAATATGTTTTCCGTCATCATTTCTCGATTAGTTTGCTTGCATGCAGAAGTTCATTGGATTGAATTTACTTCTTCCATATAATTATATATATATGATTTATTTATGGACGAAGTTTACGACCTCTCTTTTCTTTTCTTTTTTGGTTTTTGGCAAATAGATGGAGGAGAAGCATATATATTGAACAATATTCTTGTCAGCGGAAACGGTAAAATCAAATTTTCTTATACCAAATTTCTCACAAAGTTAAATTTTTTTTATTGCATCAATTGTTTCATTATATTTTTTAACAAAAAAGAAATAGTTCATTATGTACAAAGTTTATGAACCGATGATCACTCTCGTGTTTTCTGTTGTTGTTGATCAACCGGTGAATTCCAGGACTCTTTCATTAGTGGAGTCATTCATAGTTTTGGAGGGGTGGAAAAGGTTGATAATAATTGGCGAATCGTCATTTGTGCAATTATCTTCCTTCAGGGCCACATTTAGGCAGCTTCTCATGTCTTAAAGATAACTTAAACGTTAAAGTTTGACGTGGAAGATTTGAGGTTAGTTGTGGCACATCACATCGTTTTTCCGTGCTATTATTTACCGGTTTAATTTATATTATCATTTTATTTCCATTCGGTTTATGAGCTTGACTTCTCAAGGATTTGACTTTCTTGGGAATACATAAAATTCTTAACTGACATGGATTTTTTTTTCTTCTTTTGTAGACCGTGACAACTTGTTGCTCATTTTGAACTAAGCCGAACCCTAATTGAGACTCATTTAGTACGAATGCAACCATGAATTCAAGAAATGCTCTGATGATTTTCTCGAAAGTTCAATCAGTTACTTTTTAAGAGAGCATCAAAAAGGTGTTTCGTGTGTTTATAGATGTTTTTCGTCATTCTATATGGGCGTTCAATGCTTCAAATCAATTGTTTCACCACCCCCTCGAATTATGGCTGCTATGAAATTATTTATGAAACTGCGTTCATTCTCATGTTCTAGTGTGGTAAAGAAGGTAGCTGGCATTGCTCCGTCTATCGTCTAGTGCTTAATTATTCACCAACAGAACAAAGCAGGGCTAGAGGGAAGAAATTACGATAATATTCTCCAACTTGCTTGGAAATAATTCGGACGCCCCCATAGAAGCTACCAAGCGAGTCCAAAATGCCGAGCCGAATTCCACAAAGACGAATCAGCCTTTCTTCATATTTCTCACACGCTTTTGCAAACAACAGGTTTCTTCCCCGTCAATCCACCTCATAATCAACACTGATCTCCCTCGTTGGTATGTGGCAAAATGGTAAAAAATGACGACAGAATTCTTGAGCCTCCAGCTATGAAAATATATATATGAGATTGGTTAATGGTTCTTAATGCGGATTTAGTTTTGCTTCGTTGCTACTTTTGTTTTCCTATCATCAAAGACTGAATTTGAGGTGCTAGAAACATTCTAATATTATCGAATCTTTCTAACACCTCAAATTGGGTCTTAGGATAGAAAAGCTAATGATAGGAAAACAAAATATAGCAACACGACGGACTAGCTCGTATGAATGTTAATGCTCTTGTTATAAATCGGGTCATTTTTTCCTTTTTTGTCCCTTTTAGAAATATTCGACTTTTCGTTTTGTTGAATCCAAATATGGAGTGTACTTACTATATATGTAGATTTTGTTGTACTATATATGTTTGTAATAATCTTGGACGTCTTATTCTTAAGAATTTATTTTCCTAAGCGATGTAATGATCTTTATTTACTTAAAGCCTTGTGGTCTCTAATTAATTCTGTTAATTTTTCTAGAAACTAATTATGGCTAAGCTAATCCTTTCAAATAATTAAATGCACTTCCAATCTTTTCAACCTTAAATTCATCTAAAGCTTAAACCTCGCTGGATAAACTAGATACAGAGCATAATTTCTTAAAATTGCAATTTGGTCCTAAATCTTTTGAATTATGTATAAGCAAGTCGAATTGTATTTCTGGGTATTGGTAGTTGTATAAGCATGTTTATGCATATACAATGTGACGACAACACTCTTCAATTCCAGTAAAAAGATAATGCGCCAGAAGTTTGACTTTGGGGAAAAGTGCAACAAAAATATACTTTACAAGGGAGGATGTCTCTTTTTTTAATTTTTAGGGGGGAAGGTGCAAATTTCTAAAATTTCTAGGGGGGCAAGTGATACATTTCTCTAATAGCTTAAGCTTAGTTAATTTAACTAGTTCAGGTAAAATTTTGAAAAAAAAATTGTTCAGGAGGTAACGTGCAAAAGCACACTATAGTTTGGGAGTGAGGTGCCATATTAACCCTAAATAATTCATTACAAGATTGGAATCTTAAGATTGTAACCGATGGAATTCGAAAACTTTTTTATAATCTTCACCCTTAATTCTAACTCCTACATGTCCAAACTATTTTATAAGATCATATTAGTGCTAAATTCACTTATCTCCGATCAATTAATACTAGTTTCTTGCTAAGCCGGCGTGGACTCGATCGAAGTTGTCCCGTCATTGCTCATAATTTAAGATGATATCACTATGGCGCATATATATTATATATGGGAATTTATTACATGCATTTACTATGATTCTTGAGCAAAAAAAGAAAAAAACCTTGACACGAGCCGGAATATAAAGAATGTGTTAAACGATAAGAAAACCCACGTATATCCGTCAATAAAATTTTAACGAAGCAAATCATTTATCTATCTGATGGTGTCAGCTCTGTAAATTTAGTTAATAGATCTCGATTTAATCAACTTCTCTCGAAGTAGCATTTCCGACTTTCTGTTATCTCTCCCTGTGTAAATTCTAAACTTTGAATTAATTTTACATTTGAATTCTAAAAGAAAAATATCAATTATAAATTATAAATTAAATTGGCATAATAAGGATAATTCATAAAAATTCTCATACAAAAGGAAAATACTATATATATTATGGACAATGCTAAATGGCCAGAATTAATTTTTTTATTTTTAATTTTTATTTAATACCATTTATACCCTTAATGGGGTGTTAATCCAAATATAACTAGTACTTCACCCGTGCGTTGCACGGGTTATTTATCGTAAAAGTACATATTTGATTTTAAAAAAGTTATCAGAATAGTAAAATTAATGATATGCATTACAAAGTAGTAGAAAAGTAAAAAAGTTAAAAAAAAAATCTACACAGTGTAAATAATGAATACCAATACCAACATAAATGCGAATATCAATATCAATACCAATACCAGTGCCAATACCAGTACAAATATCAATACAAATGCTAATACCATTACCGTTACCATTACCATACCATAAACCAATACCAATACCATGACCATGACCATTACCATAACCATTACCATTACCATTACCATTACCATTACCATTATCATTACTATTACCATTACCATTACTATTACCGTCACCGATACCAATAACATTACCATTACCATTTCCATTGTCATTACCATTACCATTACCATTGCCTATACTAATAGCAATACCGATAGCAATACTAATCATTGCCATTACTAATGTTAATACTAATACTAATTTGATAATAATACTATTACTATTATTAATCCTAATGCTAACCTAAATCATAATGCTATTGCTAATCTTAATGCTGACATTAACTTTAATGTTAATCCTAATACTAATCCCAATTATAGTTCTAATCCAAATTGTAATCTAAATAGTAATACTAATCTTAATCCTAATAATAATAGGAATCATAATTCTAATCCTTATAGAAATGCAAATATGCTAATACTAACAGTAATCTTTATATTATGGATACTAATACTAATGGTAATGTAAATTATACATCTAATCATAATGCTAATACTAATACTAATTCTAATCATAATTAATGCTAATCCTAATACTAATATTCACACTACTATTAATTATAATATGCTAATGCTAATGCTAATGCTAATGATAATTATAATCTTAATTATAATGCTAAGTAACCCTAATACTAATACTAATACTAATACTAATACTAATACTAATACTAATACTAATACTTATATGCTAATGCTAATACCAATGTAAATCCTAATATACTAAGGGCCCTTTTGGTTGGGTGGGTTGGATAGATAGGTATAGATGGGATATGTAGTATTGGGATTAAACTGTTGATTCACAATACTGGGTATGTCTTTTGGTTGGTTGTATTAGGCTGAAACTCATAATCCCATGATGAACAACACCGTGTTTTGTATAGCTGATAAACCAGTTTAATGTGGGATTATTTGCAAAATGACTGTAATGCCCCTGAAATACAATATTTACCAGTCATACGCCTCTTTCATTTTTCAGCCCATTTCGCTCCTAAACCCTAAGTTTTTCCTTCGATAATTAAAGAAAAAATCCCGACTATTGTATCTGGTTTTACAATTGTTTTCCTGTATGAGCGTCAGTAGCAATATTTCGCATAGGAGTACGATCAGCAACGGGTATGGTGGATTCTATTCATATGGCCAGTATCAACAATTTTGTGATTGCGGTTTACAACTCGCCTTACAAACTTATTGGACGCCTACTAACCCAGATCGCCGGTTCTTGACTTGTGCAAAACGGGTACGAAACCATGTCTACCTACATATACAAGTGAAGCCTTATTGTTTGGACTTTGAACTGCTTTGTATCTCCATATTTTTAATATGCGTGGTCTTTCAAACTCGTTATCACACGTGTACATGTTAATTTGGTCATTATGTATAATTAATTTGGTCATGGACTAACATTTTTAATGATCTTCAATTCTTCGATATTTTTGTAGTCATTTCTCCGATATTTTTGTAGTAATTCAATATAATATACATGATCGTATATATGCACAAATTTATGTTTGCGTAATTAGTTGAACTAATCTGAGTATTTTTTTTTTCCGTTTAGATGTTCATGAATTTTTTTATGTAATTAATCGTGAGTTTGATGTGATAATTTGTATAATGATCAAATAGCTATCACAATATAATTTAATGGTGAGTTGAGTATTTATATGTAACTAGCATTTATCGCACGAGATATCATTTCAAATGAAAATAAATGATTAGTTTTTAATACACGATAATAACAATTATAATAAAATTTATTAGTGATATCGTAACAACATTAACATTTATACAAATTTAATATTACAAACTCATTAAAAAAACTATAAAAACTCAATTGTCATAATATGAAATTGATCATTAAATAAATGAAGCAAGTTTTCTTAGAGAAAATAGGAGATAAAATAATAACAATAATAATTAAAAAAATAAAAATATAGTGGATTAGGATTGTGCTAGCCAAGATTTAGTGTTAAAGTAATTAGAAAAAAATGGCTGCAAACTAGGAGATAAAAAAATATTATAAATTAATATTAATTAATTTAGTTTTTTATAAATTTGTAATTTTTGTATGATGTAAGGGTATTTTCGAAAATTCACATGGGTATAATAGTGGGATAATTGAAGGGATAAACTGTCAAGCCAAAATTCGTTTGATAACTAATAAATCAAATGAGTGATTAAATCAGTGGGACCGGATGTCAAGGATGGAAAAACATGTAAACCAAATATTGTACTGTGGAGTACAACATATCCCATCATGCCTAGCTAGTAATGCAAATAGTAATACTAATCTCAATCCTAATAATAATAGGAATCATCATTCTAATCCTTATAGAAATGCAAATATGCTAATACTAACAGTAATCTTTACATTAGGGATACTAATACTAATGGTAATGTAAATTATACATCTAATCATAATGCTAATACTAATACTAACTCTAATCATAATTAATGCTAATCCTAATACTAATATTCACACTACTATTAATTATAATATGCAATGCTAATGCTAATGCTAATGATAATTATAATCTTAATTATAATGCTAAGTAACCCTAATACTAATACTAATACTAATACTAATACTTATATGTTAATGCTAATACCAATGTAAATCCTAATATACTAATGGTATTACTTATACTATTACTAATATTAATACGATAATGCTAATATTAGTATACAAATGCCAATACCAATACCAATACTAATACTAATATACTAATATCAATACCAATACCAATACCAATACCAATACCAATACCAATATCAATACCAATATCAATACCAATACCAATACCAATACCAATACCAATATCAATACCAATACCAATACCAAACCAATACCAATACCAATACCAATACTAATGTCATTACTATTATCGTTATCATTACCATTACCGTTACTATGGCCATTATCATGAAAATTATCGTTACCATTACCGTTATCATTACCATTACCATCACCAATACCAATACCATTAGCATTACTACAATTATTAATACCAATACTAATACCGATACCAATATTGATATCAATATCAATCATTACCATTGCCTCTACCATTACCATTATCATTCAATTACCATTACTAATACTAATAGTAATATACTAATATTAATACTAGTTTGATAATAATACAATTACTATTAGTAACTCTAATGCTAATCTTAATCGTAATACTACGCTAATCATAATCCTAACACTAATGCTAATGTTAACCCTAATCCTACTCCTAATACTAATTCCAATCATAATTTTAAGCATATTCCTAATTCTAATCTTAATCATAATCCTAATTCGAATCCTAATCCTAATCCTAACCCTAATCCCAATTCAAATCAAAATCATAATCCTAATGGTAACGCTAATCTTAATCCTAATATTAATTCTAATCATTATAGAAATGCAAATATAATGTTACTATTACTAT